TACAGAGAAAGTCTAGGAACAGATTGACTTGGTATTGCAATCAAAACAAATGTCCATTTTTGTTTTTTATGCACCTAACGTATTGGGACATCCTGACAATTATATACCTGCAAATCCTATGTCAACTCCAGCTCAAGCTACCGGTAGCACTCTAGTGTTTTACTGTATGTTCTTCCAAGTGTCGTCTTGTTATCGATTATCTTCTTTGGCTGCTGCACAGTCGCTGATGAGCATATCGCTCACCATTGTCGCTCAGGATTATTTGCGGAGAAAGTCGTAGGATTATGCACACGAGCTATCACTCTTGTGTTTTACTCTTCCAAGTGTCGTCTCGTAATGTACTATTTTCTTTGGCTGCAGCTCAGGCGCTGATGAGCGCAATATCGCTCAGCATTATTTGCAGATTAAGTATAGGATTATGCATGAGCTACCTACCATGTAAAAAAAACATAAGTTTAGATCAATCTTTATCTGCTGAAATACAGGATGCTTCGAAAAAACAAGGATTTGCTAGAAAAAAAAGAGATGATCTTCATAAATTAGCTGAATCAAATCGTAGCTTTTCTCATTATCGTTGGTGGTAAGAAGTACATATAGAAATTACCACCATTTGCAGATTACGTATAGGATTATGCATGAGCTATCTATCACCACCATTTGCAGATTAAGTATAGGATTATGCATGAGCTATCTACCACTGTAAATGTCTTATTCTTCTCGGGTAATGCGATTTGTAAGCAATCTTAGTGAATGCGTTGCTGATCCGTGGTCCGATCGCGGTTTATCGATCAACGGTTGTGATTTCCGAGATTGCCGAGTGGTGCAAAATGAGAAAGAAAAGGTGCATGGGGAACTGCAATACAGAATCCTTTATTGTACGACAAGAGATTTTGACGGTATGATTTTATTTGATTTTTCCTGATTGATGTAGTCGTCGACACTACGACCTGACCATCGGGCCTAGCTTAGCTTAATTGGTACACCTGGGGCGATTTTACAGTACTTTATTTTCCCTGATTGATTTAGTTTTCCGGATGATCTCTTGAAATACAGACCCAAGTTTGAATCCAGCTGCGATCAGACGAACATACTAATATTTAAAACAAGTCTGGATTACCTGGGGCCGGTCAGCTCCATGATGATTTCTTAAGGCCGTCGCCCTTTTGAAAGTAAAAGAGACATTGTGACTCGAGTTACGTTTTTTTTAATCTTTTAACTAGTATGTCTGTGTGCTGACCACTCGCGTGGGCTTGCGAATTAGTATTACGATCTTATTATGTCCTATTGCGGAATGTGTCTGTGTGTTCTTATCTGCTCTGTTGTTGGTAATCGACATGCGCTGCGCTGCGGTGCGATGCGATGGCGATGCGATTCCGTGCGATGACGTGGGCATGTGTCGATCACGCGCCTGATCGACATGCGATGCGATGGCGATGCGATACGATGGGATGAGAAAAGGGAGCGCAATCCGTGGGAATGGGCAGCACCGTTGGAGCAACGCCGGAAGCAGTGGCTCTTTTCGAAAAGGCGAACGAGATTCTGGGGTGAGTTTGACGGTCGGTTGTATCGAGCGGTCGAAGAGGACTGCTTGCCACCTGTGTCTTGCGTTTGTGTGTGTGTGTGTGTTCCACATTTGTTTTTATATGACGTGTGTCGTGTGTGTGTGTGTGTGTGTGTGTTCCACATTTGTTTTTATATGACGTGTGTCGTGTGTGTGTGTGTGTGTGTGTGTGTGTGTGTGTGTGTTCCACATTTGTTTTTATATGACGTGTGTCGTGTGTGTGTGTGTGTGTGTGTGTTCCACATTTGTTTTTATATGACGGGTGTCGTGTGTGTGTGTGTGTGTGTGTGTGTGTGTGTGTGTGTGTGTGTGTGTGTGTGTGTGTGTGTGTGTGTGTGTGTGTGTGTGTTTCCGGATTACTACTTAAGTCGGTAGTTGCACGTGTCTGCCACCCAGACTGAGAACAGATGTTCGCGTCGAGGCCTCGACATAGCTCACGCGAGGGGAATGATTTATGTGTGCCGTCCCTGCGCAGGGGCCATGGTAATGGGCCTCCTCGCTCCACTACTCACCGCATGCACAAAATACAAGCAATATGAGGGTGCATCTTTCCAAGAACTAGCGGAAGATTCATCCTTTTGCACATTTGGTGAGTAGTGGAGCGAGGCCTAATCTCTCTCTCTCTCTCTTCTGTGTACCGTTGCCTCTAACGGATGTCCCGGAGGATGTCCTCCTCGCCAGAGGAATGATAAGAGCATCCCCCTCTAGCGAGCTTCCTGGTTGCTCCGATCTATTAGTGGGGACCAGCACCTGCTGGAAAACGGGTCCAGCGTCCCATCATACATCAGACAGGCCTGCCAGCATTGATTACCCATGCAGGGGATTGAGTGAGCAGGCGGTACAACAAGACATCAGAAGGGCCTGCCATTGGCAGGTAATGAGATAGGCTATTGAGACTAGAAGATGTGTGGACTTCACTTGGGGACAGCATTGCAGAATCATCTCTTCAGCCCTGATCCGGCCACCAGATTAAACCACCAGGACTTCCTCGAGTCGTGCACGTTAACGCGCCACGATTTTAGGAAACGTACGGGCTACTACATGAGAGCCCAAATTCATCCGAGTAGAAACGTTTCTACTCTTTTTCTTTGCCGCGGCAGATAGCTGGGGCAAGTACTGGTGGTTTAAGCACGTCTTCCTAGTGTGACTGCGCTGTCTATATAAGTCTGAGAGGTTCCACCTTTGCACCACTGCGTATCCTTCCCACCCCTGTGGTCTGCCCGCACTTCCTGTCCGCACCGGGATGCTCGCAGACTTGCAGGGTCCAAAAGCTGTTGCAGAACCTTTTGCTACCCCGGGGGGTACCAGGGGTGATTCCTGGCCGATGGGCGGGGGATATTTCAAATGAGGGTCTCGACTAAAGAAAGTGGGTGAGGGGGGAAGGGGTCCGGGAAATGAGAAGGGGATCTCATAGGGAAGGAGGGCTCAGAATTAGTCCAATCATTAAACACAAGGCGGTAATCCCTGGGGGGGCCCTGTTCCGCTCTGGTCGGCTGGTCCTCTCTCGGTTGGTCCCCTCCCCACTGTACCCTAGCCACCCATCACCCTCGGTCCCCCCCCAAGCCAGTCCGTGCAAAAGCCCGTGAGAGGGCCCACCTGTCATTTATCTGGTCCCTCAGTTGCCTCTTTAAACGGAGCATCCTATATGTGGTCTTGACTGACAAATTCTGGAGGTAGATCTTTTTTGGTAGTTGTAGGTCTTCCTGCAGGCCCAGTCGTAGGTCTGCCTGCAGGCCCAGTCGCTGGTCTCCCTGCAGACTGCCATTGCCATTCCAAGGGATCCAAAGCCAACTCCTGAACGGGGTATTGAGGCCGAAACACGAAAAAGTCACTGCCATCCCCTAGCACACGTACACGGAAGACCTCCTCCCTCTCCCACCATTCGAAAGGGTTGCGGGAGCCTCTCAGCTGGTTTGTTGGCCCGATTGAATAGTATTCTACTAGTACCTCTGTGGGTCGAAGTCGGTGGATCCTGCCAATCCTGCGTGGTTCCCCTCGCAAGCCGACCCAATCGCCATCCTGGAGGGTTCCTTGTGCACCACATGCACAAAAGACAACCAATATGGTGTTGTATCTTTCCTGTGTACCCAAAGGACGTCCTCATTCCTGACACGTATACATCGAGAAATGGTCCAGAAGTCCTTTTGGATTTGTGATCGGCGTTTTGGAAGCCTTGTGGCGGTTTTATTTAGTAAGAAGGTTTTATTTCAGGTTTGTTTGGATTTTATGGCCTTGTGAAAAATTTTCCTTTTTTCTCAGGGATGGAAAATGTCAGTGGATTTTATGGCCTTGTGAAAATTTTTCCTCTTTCTCAGGGATGGAAAATGTCAGTGCAGCGGTCGTGTGTTTGTGTTGGCCCTCTCTGCAACTAGGCATACCCCATCTCCTGCACCTAAGCTGGGTAATGGGCCCAGAATTGTGTTGCTGTGTCCCGGGTTGTTTTGTGGAGGGATTCCCGGCCTCCATCCTTTTGAGGTAATAAAGATTTCTCTCGTTGAAAAAAATAGAAAAAAGAAAAAAAGATTTCTCGGACTACTGCCAATAAGGATGACACGAGAAACGGGGGCTCGCTCCACTACTCTCGACATGTTCAAAACGAGAGTGAATCTTCCTCTAGAACATGGAAAGATACACCAGCATGATTTTTGTCTTTTATTTCATGTCGAGACTAATGGAGCAAGGCCCATGGTCCAAAATGTTTCAGAAGAGGAAAAAAAAAAAAAAGAAAAAAAAAAAGATGTTTTTTTGATGACTGCTGGTAGTCGAAAAGTACTTTCACAGTTTCAATAGTTCGATCATCCTTGTCCCTTTTGTGTGTAGGGAAGTGTTGTGTTTCGCTCCAGGTCGGGAAGATGTCGGATCACCTCGGGGCCACATTGTCTCGGCCGTCTGATTTATGATCATTCAAGGAGTGAAATTTCAAGAAAATGTATTCTGATCCGAGTGTGTGTTCATTTTGTTGTCGTTGTTTTTTGTTCTGGCGATAGGTACAATCTTCTTGACATCTGCCTTGAGGGTCCAGAAGATAAACTCAACTCAACAGTGATCAGCCAGGTTAGTGTCCTGCGCTCTTGAAGACCCGTACGATTCCACTTTTGAACACCTGTCCTGGCTGTAGTGGTTAAGAGACTTGGCTGCTGTGACAGAGGGTGCCGGTTCGATTTCGTGTGTGCACGGATGGATCTGCAGTGTCTAAGTAGGGATCCAACACTACTGTGGACGCTGCTGTGGAACCTATGGGTAGAGCTTTGCAGCCCAGGTGGTGACCAGGACTGGACTCAACTGTAATCAGCGAGGCTGGTTGCTTGCGCTCTTGAGGACTGGTACGATTCCATTTTTGAAAACCGTGTCCTGGCCGCAGTGGTTAAGAGACTTGGCTGCTGTGACGGAGGGTGCTTTGAGTCTGATGTGCACAGATGGATCTGCAGTTAGGAAAGTACGGAGCCAAAAGTACTGTGCGCTCCTGTGAAACCTATGGGTAGAGCTTTGCATCCCATCTGGTGGGTGACCAGGCAGCAATGGAACACGGGGGTTCACGCGTTGGATTCAAGCGAAGTGTGCGACTACTGCGGCATCCATTTGGTGTTGTGTTTGGTGCGAATGAGGGGTGGGGTGCAGGGGTGGGGTGGGTGGATATCACGAGGGGTGGGACAGCCGTGCAGGGGTGGGTGGATATCATGACCGGTACGATTCCTCTTTTAAATACCATGTCCTGGATATAATTGCTAAGAGACTTGGTTTCTGTGACAGAGGGTGCTCTTTTGAGGCTCTGCGTGCACGGATGGATCTGAAGTCAGAAAGTACGGATCCAAAACCACGCGTCTTTGTGCCAGCTTTGTAAGCTTGCCACTTGCCAGAACCGGTAGGCTAACCTGGAAAAGAAAAAGAAAAGCAGGAAAAGGAGGAGAAGGGCATGGAAGAAAGCTAGTGAGGAGAAGAAAGAAGAGTGAAAATGAACTGGTAGTGGCCTTCATTTACTGGAACCGAACCGGCACCCTCCGACACATTTCATGAAATTTCCCGGAAACTTGGCCTAGGATAGCTTACTGGGAAATTCCTGGAAGATTGGCCATGGAAAGCATACTGTTTGTGTTGTTTTTTTTCGCCCAATGATAGTCCTGTGGTCTTTTGGTTGGGAGCAACATCTGCAGGCAACTGGCTCCAGCGTGCCCCCATGAAATGTATGCAGCCTTAGTTTTCTCACTACCCTGGAAAACCCAGCAGCATTGTTTGCCTCCGTGACTGGGAGGATTGCTTGCTGGCAAAGTAGCTAGCTAGCTAGTTCGTCAGTAGTGTCTAGTGTGAATCAATATTTGGATTGAGTAGATCAAATACCATTCCAATCTACTACTTATTCTACCTGAACTATTTAACCTGAGGTAGTAGCGATCCTGTCCTAGGTAATCACGTACCAAACCCACTAGTCAGATGCTACTAACATTGAGGTCTACTTGAACTACCTAACCCTGAGGTAGACAGTCTATCCTAGATTATGTGCGTAACCTACCCCTTGTGCACGTCACCAACCCTTTCAGACACCCGTACCTGGCGGATGCCGCTAACCAACCTCCCTAATCAGATGGCCTTTGTCCGGGGGCTTGTAATATGCATTAACGTACTACTGACACCTAATCTGAATGATCGAACCCGCCCTGTACCTAGCACCTAACTAACTCGCATGATACGCGATGCAGCCTTATCTCTGAGTTACCTAACGGAAATGTTGCCTAACCTTCGTGTTCTAAAATCACCTACCGCACCCATGTTACTTGATTTACTACCCTAGATTATGTGTGGAACCTACCCCTTGTGCACGTCACCAACCCTTGCGAACACCCGTACCTGGCGGATGCTGCTCACTAACCTACCTAGTCAGATGGCCTTCGTCGGAGGCCCTGTAATATGCACTAACGTACTACCGACACCTATTTGTGAATGATACTCACCTTGTACCTAGCACCTAACTAACTCGCCTAATCTCTGAGTCGCCTAACGGAAGTGTGACCTAACCTTGACAATGTGTTCTAACCTCTCCTATCCCACCCATGTTACCTGAATTACTATCCTAGCTAACCTAGCCCACTTGTCTAGTTAACCTAGTCCGCTTGCCTACATGACTCCTGCTCTGTTTATCTAACCTAACCTACCATACCCACATATCTCTAATCTTTGAGTCTCACAGTGTTATAATGAGATGGGGCCCCCACTATGCTATACCTTGAACGTAAGTTGACAGTAAGGGAAGTTCTCTTTTAGGGTAGGGGATTCGTGGTTGGACAGCAGGGAAGTCGTCTTTTAAGGCACCAGTTATGGTTTGAACTTTGAAGTGAATGAATATGGTTGGAGTAGATTGCTGGCCGTTTTTTGTGGAAGTCCACCTTTATTCCAAACAAACTCTGCTAGTAATATCATTGTGGGTGTTTATGGCATTGCTTCCATTCCCTGTTTGGCCAATGTGTTCGTCTCTTGCGTATTTGCTTTCTAACCTTGTGTGGAATATCGTGCTTGTGGAACGTGGTGGTCCATTACAGCCAGCAATCTACGTTGCAAGCCTTGCAGCTGTTGAGGCGCTGCGAACAAGCGATGAGGGCCAAGCTATCCTCAACTCTTGTGATGTGGCGTGTGGCTTGAGTTTGGGTGAATACACTGCGCTCTCGTTTGCTGGGGCTTTGAGGTAATGTACGCTGTCCAAGAGGGAGTTTGACCTTTGGGAATTTCCAGGGGAGGCACGGGGAAGCTCGGGAGCGATTGAGAGAGAGCAAGAGAGAGGAACGGGGGAGAGGAGATGTGTGTAAAAAAGCAGAGAGAGAGAGAGAGAGAGAGAGAGAGAGAGAGAGAGAGAGAGAGAGAGAGAGAGAGAGAGAGAGAGAGAGAGAGAGAGAGG